CCCATTTTTCATTTCGCCAACTGCCACATTCCATTATCCATGTGCCGAGCTGGGCTGGGCTTCTGGAAGGAAGGGAAGGGAAGAACAGCGTCACTTCAGCTAAACCACCACAGACAATGGAGCAGCGGGCTAGCTTCTGCTGTATCCGCAGAGGCTAGCGTACATGATTGCCACGCCGTTAGCTCCATTTGACAGGCAAACACAGCGTGGCACCCTGGGCGGTTGGAGCTCCCAAGGAAGGCAAGTCGACCACGGCCCCATGCCCCCCTGCCTTGTTCTCCCTCGTGGCTTTGGTGGGCAGCGTGAAGATGCGAGCAGTTCATACGGATACGGGTCTTCAGGACCTCTTGCCATCGGGAGACTTCCGCTGGAGGATAGTTGACAAGTTACAAAGCAACGGTCATCACAATGGTCTCTCGTTTCGCGGTGGGTCTGCCGGCTCGGACCGGGCTTCCTGCAGAACCTAAGACAGCCCAGAAACCAACGATCTCTTCGGTGGAAGTCGAGGGCAGGCGAGGAATCAGTCCCAGGACCGTTCACTGTTCACCGCTCTCGAGTCCTATCGCCCACAAAGTCTACCGCGTTGGCAAACGAGTCTTTGTGGAAAGGAGCGAGCAAGCGCCCTTATGAAGCATCCTACCGGCCAGCGTTGTATCCCGCCAGGGCCATTCTAGACCTTCACATTTGGGGTGGCATCCCGATCCTTGGGAGAACGCGTTGAGACGTGCTTTGACTGGGCAGTTATTTCAGAGTACCGATAGTGTACTGTACAGTGCTTAAGGTACTCCCAAGGTAAGAAGACATCAGTGACCGAGGTCGTGAAGAGAATGCCGGGTTGAGCTTGGCTCCGGTTGACCCTGGGACATGCGAACAAGGTAGTTCGGAGGCGTGCCGCATCCTGGTATACCGGACGGCGTGAAATGGCAGAGAGGCTTTTAGAATTCCTTCTGCAGAATAAAAGAACAAGAAAGACAGGTGAGGTGGGAATTACCTCACGCACAAGGTGAGTATCCGACTCAGGATCCCTTGCGCGGATAAGGATACTGAGTCGCCAAACTGACGCCCTTGCGCGTATGATACGGGAGCTCGAGAGAAGATGAAGTTTTAGATACCCTAAAGAGACATTGCTGGCGTAAGCCCAGTTTGTAATGTAGGGAGAGTGTACCGGGATTTGACCCGATTTGCGTTTCTCTTTGGCAAGTGTTTTTCACAAGTGTTGCCCTGAAAATCATACCCGTGCTTCAAGCTCGAGTGCCATGAGTACCCTGTCTCATTCTCTGATCCTAGCACTACTATCCGTACAACTGCAGGCAAGCTCAGGCCCTGCCCGTGTGGACAAGCACAGGGTAGGGCAGGTTACGATTTGAGAAGTTGAGATGGCTTGCCGCAAAGAGTAAATGCAACTTGCCAGCCACAGCCTAGCCGCCCCGTTGTTTTCTTGGTCCCTCTCTGCATGCATGCATGCATGCACATCTTTTGTCGGGGGGAGAGGGAGGGGATTTTTCAACAGCTTGAATTTTTTATGTTTTTTTCCTCTCTCACGTTTTCAAATTCTCCATGGATTTCACCAATTCCTGGGCGGCACATGCTATCCCATGCTCCATGGCCCGCCGTCGACCGCCTCCCGCACTTCCCATGCTGTCTCCTCTCTAGCCAGTGGCTCCTTGCGGACAAGTGCTCCGATCAGAAGCCAAGTGTGATTCGATGGCGTTAGGTCCTGGCAGAGGAGCAAGGGGAGGACAGAGAGTGAGAAAGAGAAAAATGATGCACTACAGGTGGAGGTTCCATCCATCGAATCCCGTCCAAGTCAAGCTCTGAAGTATCCCGCGGTAAATGACCATTTCCCTCATGAGGTCCTCCCTCCCCCCTTTCAAATTAGCCTTTCCCGTCTGGCCTTGTGCATTGCGTAGTCCTCGTCCCCTTTGTTCTGCCATCATCCTTTGTCAACATTCAAGAAGCCAACGGGCTCCCCTTGTCTTTCGTTTCCTAGTATCCTTCATCGACTACCTCACCGGTTGTCAAGAGGGTGAATACAAAGACATCCGCCAACCCTCGACAGGAAAAACCACTTCATGTATCCATATTGATACTCTGTGCGTAACCCACCTTCCCCGCGCTGATATTGGCCTGGGTATTTCATCTATCATCTCTTGCGTTCCCTCCTATTCTCCTTTGGGGAAATTTCATTAGCCATCCCACGTGTGGCTATATTACACCCGAGCCGGCCGGGCCCACGATTGAGTCCCCATTTGGGAAATCTGGCGAGCGAAGACAACATCCGTGGAGTGAGTCGCTCTAAGAGAGTGACGGAACACTAAAGTTTCTTTGCAAACGTAGAGACGCGATAAAGATACGACATTGGCGCCAGCTAGAATTGAAAGAAAATCCTGGTGACGGCTTTTTGGCGGAGTCTTTTCTAAAGCTCGGCGAAATGGGTGAGGACGTCGACGCTGTTGGCGACCCCGGCATCGGCGATGGCCATCGACGCAGGGGCGAAGGTGCCGGTGCCACAAGAAACCGGACGGACCACAAAGAACGGAGGAGGCCATCTCGAACAGATAATACCCAAGATGCCCACGACAGCGACGAAGACGACTCAGATGCCGGGTCTGATTTCAGCTCCGTCTCTGTTGACGAGCTCCCGCCCATCCGGGCTTATGGTCACACATACCACGGTTCCGGTGTATTACTAATGCCGAATGACGAATCCGAGCGAGCCCGTCTAGAAATTCAGCATCAACTATTCAAGCTATGTCTAGAAGGTGGTCTGACGGCGGCGAAGCTCCCCAAGGACAGACCTCTCAACATTCTTGACATTGGTTCTGGGACCGGCAATTGGGCCGTTGAGATGGGCGAGCAGTACCCTCTGGCCAAGATCATGGGAATCGACATCTCCGCCGCGCTCTTACCCACGACTGTACCGGCCAACGTCGCCTTTGAAGTAGAAGATGCAAACCATGACTGGGCTCGTGAGAAGGACAGCTTGGACTTTGTGCACATGAGGAACCTCGTCGGCGGGGGCGTCTCGGACTGGAAGGCGCTTTTCCGGCAAGCGTACGAACATCTCAAGCCCGGTGGACAGATTGAGTTCGCCGAAGTGAGGACGAGGTACTTCGACCTCATTGACAGCAGCGGAGACGAGCCCATTGCGTCCACGGCTGAAGAGGAGAATCACGGCGGGATGACGGCATGCCGCGAGTTCGAGGTGCGGTTCTCGGAAATGGCCAAGATTGCAGGCGTGGACTTTGACCCGACGCCAAAGATTCCCGCCATGTTTTCTGAGGTTGGTTTTGAGAAGGTGGCGCGTTGGTCGGATCTGGTTCCCATACAGGCTGTGGGACATGATGAAAAGATGGTCAGAAAAGGAGCACAATTTGCTCAGATGCTGGAATATGGTATGTTCAGAGCCCGTACTCTTAACAAGTTCAAGTTTCCTCAACTAACATGCCACCACATCAGGCTTGGAGAATTACTCGTTGGCAGTCTTTGGCAGGGGTGGTTGGGATGAGAACGATACCCGGAGTCTCCTGAAGAGAGTCCACAAGGAGTCGCGCGATACCGCAAACGAGGCGTATGGCAAAGTGTAGGTGTCCCGGGATACGAATGTGATTTCACTGGGAAACCGCTGACTGACTTTTACTATATAGATCATTTGTCACGGCGAGGAAGCCTTTTTGATCGGGCTTGACCTGATCGATTCTATCTACTCTGTATAGAAGAATGGGCTGGATTATACCCATAGAGAATACTTACCTACTGTAATGAACTCACGTCACTTGGATTTATATGCATTGACTTACCGCCAAAATATTTGAAGCATCCCACTCCTAGTCCTCTAGCACTCTTCCATTCACACACTTCGATGCTGGCATGAACTACCACACCCCGCGGGATTTGACTAACCCCGCGGTCGGTCGGTCGGTTATCTGCCGATGTGATCCCTTAATCGGACTCTGCGGACCCGAGTCAAAAACCCTCGGTCTTTCCTCGGTGCCAACCGGCGGTGGCTCTGGTCGAGTCTAAATATGCACTCTAAACCTCTGCAACCCTCCCAAAACTTCCGATCAGCCTCCATTTCGCCCTTTATCCGCGTCGCCCCTAAACCTGGTCCTGACTGCCACACCGGCGCACGCTATGCTTAAAGAGATCCCACTTGGCTCAAAACAAAATGTGCCGAGCTTTCAAACCCGCTACAGAAACTCCCGAGAGGCCATGATCCCTGAATGTTTCACTCTGCCTGCCGCTGCAGCTAGCCTACGCGCTGCAAGGTTGGTGGTTCAACGTGCCTAGACCCCCTCAGTTCACCCGATGCCCAACGCTGCCTGTTTTTTTCTCTATTGCAACCTTGTCTTTTCTGCCCAGACGCCTGAGGAAATGCTTTGCGTTATCCAGTAGAGTACTTGCTGTTGTGGTATCATCAAATGATGCGTCAACCAGCTGCCACACTACTAATACTAACGTAAATGTAGTATTTCGACGATCATGCACCACACTGCGCAAACTCTCATCGCTGCTATGAACTGACGAGTAGCCTTGAGATGCCCCATGCCGGCCTCTCAGAAGGACCCAAATACTCGAATCCTACACTGAAAGATGCTTAATGGCCAGTAATATAAATTACCGGTTGGAGCGTCGAATCGTGCCCAGCCCACTTCTACCCAGTGTGCTGTGTAAGCCTCATGTCAATCCATGGGTCTAAATCGAGTCTAACTGGAGTCTAAATGGTGATCACTGCCCGTCCATTGGGCATCATCATGGATGCTTCTTTTGGGATCTCTGTCTCCTTCGCAGCCAGTCACATAGCATGTGGGTTTACGAGGCATAGCAATAACCGCGTAAAAGTCTTGAAGCAAGCACATGAACGTCAAGATTTTGATAATGGAGGCCTCTTGAAGGCTTCATCCCAGATTCGCCCGCCAGCATTGTCTCACATGAGGTCGTCAAGTCTTTGATGAGTGGCCTAGATATCAATGGTATTGTTACTTGAATTCCAGATTATCCTACCGTACACCATTGAGCTGGGGAGCAGCGGTCTCCTCTGTCAGCACGTAATCCCTCACTGCACCCTTCCAATCACTGATTCTCACGTCCTTGATCTTGACCACGATGACTCGTACTTCCTCACCGGCGACAAAGCATCCTCTGCCACCATCCTCGGCCTGAACACTTGGGTTGAAGCTCTGGCCTTCGTCAAATGTGTTGTTTTCCAGGTGCGCCTCGCGGTAGAACTTCTCCTCTTCCGAACCATTATCAACCAGTCTGGCAGTGCCATTGATTGTAGCACTAATACTAGAGACCGCCGCGGTGTTGAGATTCAATAGGAGGGATGCAAGGCTGGAGCGGTGCTCTGGGCCGGGGCTGCCGCCTGAAGGCCGTCGGCCAGACGTCGGCGGCCGATGGGAAGACCCTGAACGAAGCCGTCAGCAATCTTGACGAACACGCTACCACAATAGAGCTACAACATACAGTCATGTACCAATAGAGAAACGTTGGGATTCGAAAGAAGGTTCTGTGTTTTTCTCGAGGCGGGGTTCGTGGTCATGACAATAACGGGACCGGCCGAGTGGTTCGAGGATGGCAGATAGGTGTAGTTCATGAGAGAGACGTTCGGCGTGTTTTCGGTACATGTTGCTAGGTGAAGCTATCGATGCGGCAGTCTCGTCAGCTACATTTCTACATTGGTGTTGTGGTGAAGAGTCATCGCAAGGCTTGAATGAGGTGGGCAGAAGAACTAAGAGCTTACGAATCGAGCATTCTCCAAGCATTGTACGACTTCTTGAGGAAGAGTTGCCGTGACTTGCTTATTGGTTTCGCCAGCCGAAGCTTCGTAGTTGAGAGGGACTTGTTGATCCATATTGATGAAGCTGTTCTTGACAGTGTGTGTAGGTTGGTAACGTATCGTGAGCTTCCTTCGAAGGAGCCCTGTCTGGATCGACCGGGCTGGAGAGGAAAGATGGGCGCAAGGTCCCAGCCCACGCTGACTAATGCGGGGCAGAGCTATCGGACCTTCCATGCTCTCGCGGAATGACGTCGAGGAACTTGCATGCTAATCTTATCAGCTGTCGCCTTACCTAAGGCAGCTTGGGGGCAGCTTACCGGACCTGAGCACGTCCCGCCTGAAATCCGGGGTCGCCTTTCAGCGGCTTTCAGCACCCACGGCTATTGTCGGCACCACTTGTTCCAAGATGATCGAGCGCAACAAGCCGAAGCTGCTTTGAGACCTCGGGTTACCTGGGGCACTCGCAATGAGCTCTGCGCTTTCCTCCTCTGCCATCAACTTCGCGTTCTTCTCCTCCTTTCCATGAACATTCAATTGATACCCCAAGCTTGAAATCCACGTCACAAAGCTTCAGTCATCCATCATGCGTTCCATGAAAGCGAAGCACCGGCTCGTCCGACCCCTCCCTCGGCTCCTCTCCACTGCCGCTGGCCAGACGGTGCCGGCTTCGAGCCAAATTACACCCATTACCTCTCTCCTTATCGCAAACCGTGGCGAGATTGCTCTGCGAATCCACAAGACTGCGGACAGGCTAGGAATCAAGACGACGACTATCTATACAGACCCCGACAGCAACAGCCAGCATGCCGCGTGCTCCCCGCATTCCTTGAACCTGGGCGACGCAAGAGCGTACCTAGACGGCGAACGCATCATCTCCCTAGCCAAGAAGCACGGCATACAAGCCCTTCATCCCGGCTATGGCTTCCTGTCTGAGAACTCTCGATTTGCCGAGAGATGCGAAAAGGAGGGCATCGTCTTCGTTGGACCTCCGGCGCAGGCAATGACCGATATGGGCGACAAGGCACGAAGCAAGATCATTATGACCGACGCCGGCGTCCCCTGTGTTCCAGGGTACCATGGTTCCGATCAGGGGGAGGCACAACTATTGGAACACGCAAAGAATATCAAGTTCCCAGTGTTGCTCAAGAGTGTCAAGGGCGGTGGTGGAAAGGGTATGCGCATCGTTATGACCGAGGACGAGTTTGCCGCCCAGCTTGGTAGTGCTCGCGCCGAAGCCCGCGCATCCTTTGGCGAGGGTGGCGAGGTCATGTTGGTGGAGAAGTACATTGTGCGCCCTCGCCATGTTGAGGTGCAGGTGTTTGCGGATAAGCTGGGCAATTGTGTTGCTCTAGGGGAGCGTGACTGCAGTGTACAAAGACGACACCAGAAGATTCTTGAGGAGTCTCCAGCGCCGGATTTGGACGAAGAAACTCGTCTCGATCTTTGGGAGAAGGCTAGGAAAGCTGCTTTGGCCGTCAACTACGTTGGCGCTGGCACTGTTGAGTTCATTCTTGACAAGGACACTGGCGACTTTTACTTCATGGAGATGAACACCCGATTGCAAGTCGAGCATCCCGTTAGTGAAATGGTCACCGGCACCGATCTCGTCGAATGGCAATTCCGCGTCGCTGCTGGCGAGAAGCTACCTATGACACAGGAGGAGATCGTGGAGAACATCAAGCAGCACGGTGCAGCTATTGAGGCTCGTATCTATGCCGAAAATCCGGAGAAGGGCTTCATGCCTGATTCAGGCAAGTTGATTCACCTCACCACGCCGAAGACGAACGAGGACATTCGCATCGACGCCGGCTTTATCCAGGGTGATACTGTCTCGGAAGCCTACGATGGCATGATTGCCAAGTTGATTGTTCGCAGCAAGGACAGAGAAACAGCTATTCGCAGGCTAGAACTGGCTCTCCGTGAGTATGAAGTCGTCGGTCTCAGCACCAATATCGAGTTCCTTAAACGTCTTTGCCGGTCCCCAGCTTTCATAGAAGGCGACGTCGAGACAGGGTTCATCGACAAGTGGAGAGATGAGCTTTTCAAGCCGCGGCCAATCCATGACGAAGTCTTTGTCCAGGCTGCCCTCAGCTCGTTATCCCCACAACTATCACATGCTGCTCCCCATGGAGGTAGCTTAGGCTTTGGCGAGGCCAGCACCCTCAGCGAGCGCAAGTTTGCCTTCAAGGTGCTCGATTCATACAGTGAGCAAGAGGGAGAAGTTGTTGAAGTCAGCATCACACAAAAGTCCCATCAACTCTTTGAGGCGCGTGTAACAAGGAAGGGAGAGGAGCCGCCCAAGGTTTTCGAGAACCTCATCAGCGAATTCCAACCAAAGTCGTCGTCAACGAATGCGTTGACAACTTTCTTTCCCAACGAGAGATTGGAGTCGACGGTTGTGCAGAGTTTACAGCATGAGCAGGATACCAAGATTGCTGTGTTCCAACATGGCATCAAGACCGAGCTTTCTCTTCTGCCACCAAGCTGGTTCGAGAAGGCCCTCGGTTTGAAGGAGGTTACCGCGTCTGTCGTTGCACCAATGCCTTGTAAGATTCTGAAGAACGAAGTGGAAGAAGGGCAAGCCGTAGCAAAGGGAGCTCCGTTGGTTGTGTCAGTACCACCCGACCCAAGACCGCTGTCACAAGATGATTTCCAGTGGCTAATTTTGACACACAGTATCGAGTCTATGAAGATGGAGACTGTTATTCGGTCACCCCAAAACGGCGTGGTCAAGAAGCTGGCGCATAAGGAAGGCGTGAGTAGTCCTATTTTTCCAAAGTTGCACGCCCCTCACTGACACTGTCTTAGGATATCTGCAAAGCCGGAACGGTCTTGGTACAATTTGAGGAAGAAACTACAAAAGAATCATGAGCGGGCGGTGATTGATTTACAAGAGAAAAGGATACTGGTTTGAAGTTCATACAGCGAATAGGCTAAGATTAACGATTCGTTTCTATTGCAGAGGATAGGTACTTGTGCCAAGTCCTTTGTCGACCCAAATGTGCCTACTTAGAGTGTCCCCTTTTGAACACAATTAGTGGAAGCTCTGCTCTAGATAAACACTCAGTTTCTCCAAGCCTTCTTTCAGCACTTCTGTCCGACATACGTAACCAAAGCGCATTTGGCCCTTGAAGTCAACGCCCTCACCAAAACAGGTAGACCCAGGCATTATTAAAACCCCAGTCTCTTTAAGGATTTCAAGACAGAACTCGTCATCTCGAACTGGTTCGTCGCCTCTTTGAAAGCCAATCATTGCCGTTGTACCGGCTGTGGGCCTTACCCAGGAGCAAACAGACTGGTGCTTCTTGATAAAGGTCTCGAGGATCTCAAAGTTTGTCCTTGCAAGCTCGATGTTTCTATTGATGAGGTTTGGTCTGACCGCATCCGAGAGAGCATAGCCGGCCACTTGATCGTCTAGCTGCGAGACGCTGATGGTCGTGTAGTTCCGCGCACTCTTGACGGCCTCAATGATTCCAGGATCTCTCGATGCGATCCATCCCACGCGGATGCCGGCAAGAGAGAAAGCTTTCGACATACTCGAGGTAGAAATGGTTCGGTCATAGCCCAAAGAGAGGATCGATGGGGGCATGCTTTCTCCTACAGGAAGGCTGTGGAAGAGGGGTCGATATACCTCGTCAGCCATGACAATGATGTTTCTCGACTTGGCAAACGCGATGAGATCTTCTAGAACATGCTTAGGCGTAGTGACACCAGTGGGATTGTTGGGATTGTTGATAATGATCATCTAGTCCTACGAGTTAGCCGTGGGTACTACTCGTCTGAAGTATGGTTGTATTACCTTGGTATTCTCTCGCACCAGGTCTTGAAGTTCTCGGATGTCCGGGATGTATCCATTCTCAGCCTTCAATTTCCAGAGGCTCACATCAGCGCCCAAGCTTTTGGGAACTTCGTACAGCTGTTGGTAGGTCGGGTATACACAGATTACATGATCATTCTTGCCGACGAGGGTGTAGAGAGTGAGGAAGTTGGCAACGATGGCTCCCTGCGTAATGACGACTTGATCGCTGGGGAGAGAGCCCGAAACATCGTTTGCGTACATGTTGGCGATCTGCTGGCGCGTCTTCTCTGATCCGTAAATGGCGCCGTAAGTCATTCGTCGGGTTGCAATGTCAAGGGGGCCCGCAGCCGACTTGTCGCTCGACAGCTCTGTCAACTCCTTGATCGACACAGACTCGCAGCATGTTTCGGCGATGTTGAGAGCACCAGGCGTTGTCTCGAGACGATCCATCCATTCTTCTACCTCGAAAGCTTTGATCTGGACCATGACGTTGGTTGATGTTGTGAACTGGGCCTCAGATTTGATGTTGCAGCTTGTACCAGTGCTCTAATTCACCGATTGGAGATGATGTGTTGGTTGAAATAGCCCAAGACGCGTGTCTTTCGCTCTTCTTCTCCTCATTTCACAACTGCGGCGCTTTGCCCAACTTATATTCTGCGTCCAGCGTCAAGCATGTCTTGACATATCGTGCGCCCTTAAGACGGGGCGAGACGTTGGGCCGGGGCGAAGTGTCTCCACCTCTCGTCACCGACTGGGAAGGAAAGTCGAGACGAGAGCGAACATTGTAACAGCCCCGGTTCAAACTTCTCAAAACTCATTCGCTCTCACTTGATTAGCACTACTAAGCAACTAAACTGTCCACTGCCACGTATAAGACAAGTTCAAGATACATACAACTCATTCGACAAATCAGCGGCCAATGGCCTACTTCAATGGGTCTAGGGTTGCACCGACACCGCGGCCAGGATTAGAAGGAAGGTAGAGTCGAAAGCTCGGCCCCATCAAGCCACTGCGGTGTTGGACTTTGACGAGAACCTTTGAATAGCTTATCAAGTCCCCAACTATTACTTTTCCTCGTCTCAAACTTGATGAAGCAAGCCTGGAGCAGCAGTTGGAGAACCGCATGGTCTTTCCTTTCTTCAGCGGGGGATTTCTCGCATCAGAAACAAGTTTATATGTCACTTTAATCAGACTTTCACATTTTGCGTGGTACTCAAGCCGGCGCCATGGCTTGCGCAGCGCGCTGGTTATCGTGTAGTTTTCTTGTGCTGAATCAAGATCTTGAGAACCATCATTGAGAACTACACAAATATCAAAGTTCGCAGGATGTTGAAGCGTCTTCCACTACATAGTGTTAAAGAGGTACGTATTCGGAAATAGCATCAAATGAACGGTGTTTTAACGACAAATCGATCTGCCAGAAAAGTAGAACATAATTGAAGAAGCGGTAAGGGCCACAGAGGTTACATTTGTGATGGTTCTAAGGTTCTCCCGAGCTCCACAGAAATTCATGCCGCCTACCTAAAGTAGGTAAGACATTGAGGCGATTCTTTCATGTTCGGAGGACACATGTGACAGGTACATGGACTTCAGAGGGCCCTTCTCCCAAAGCCTAGCCAAATTATTTTGCGAATACCATCCACGTTGGAAATTGGAGTTAGTATGTCGTCTTCGCGGACTCCAAGGCGGCCATCCGGCATAGGGTCATCCTGATTTATGTACCCTTCGAGCCCTGAGACCCGTCAAAATGGGCGTGACTTGACCCAACTGAATATACATTACGTCGATAAAATGCTACATCGTTGACAAAACTTGAAACCCCATTCTAAAAACCTTTCGGACTGCCGACAGCCGGATTTGAAGACTTGGTACCTTGTGAGATCCACACACGTCAATAGTCACTCCAGCGCCTGTCTTTCAAGGTTCATAAGCCATAGGTATCACTACTTGGGGGCTCTTCCGCCGTTCTCCCGTCTTTCCACCAGTCTTCCTGAGACAAGAAGGTGCTCTGTTGCCAGATTTCAATCCTCCCACCTCTCCTATTCCTGTATCAAACCATCAGCCGCCAAGATGTCGAGTTCACCTCTAGAGAAACATGACACCATGTAAGTCTCAAAATACATCCATACTTGGTCAAACAATCAACTGACCGTCTAAGTTTCAAGAGCGGCTTTGAAGTGGGCAATGCTGTCGAAATCAGTCGCCATGACAATCCTCGCCGCAGTGAAAGCCAGATGGTCACTGGAGAGTAGGCTACCACCAAGAAGCCCGGTCTAATCTTATGCTTCTTACTAAAACTACGGACTCACAGGCCGAGCAACCCTCTTGAAGGTATTCCCCGAGAACAGCTCAAGATCGATGCAAGACTTTTCGCTATCGGCCTAGGCCTTCAAAACGAGATCACCTACTTCGAAAAGGGGGCGTTGGCTGCACAGACTCCGAAAGCCTACGAAGACATACCGGAGCTAAATGAAGAGGACCGACTCGTTCTGAGAAACGAAATCGAGCATCGCTGGAAGCATCCCAAAGCTCTCTACTTCACCATTCTTATGAACTCGGTGAGCGCAGCAATACAGGGCTGGGACCAAACAGGGTCAAATGGAGCAAATTTATCTTTCCCACAAGTATTTGGGATTGCGGACAAAGGCGAGGCCTGCTTAATAGCCGGAACATGTGCACGAAACTCCTGGATCATTGGTGCCATCAACAGCGCGCCGTATATGGCTATTTGCGTCATGTGAGTCCTTCGCCAATTCCATAATGGACATATCACTGACTACCTGTGCGTACTAACAGCGCTTGTTGGCTGTCTGATCCCGTCAATAACTGGTTCGGAAGACGCGGTGCAATCTTCCTGGGCGCCATCTTCAGCATCCTCGGCCCCGTAGGCCAAGCCCTTTGCCAGACTTGGCCACAGATCTTGATCTGCAGAATTCTTCTCGGCATGGGAATGGGACTGAAAGAAGTTACTGTGCCCGTATTCTCGGCTGAAAACTCGCCACCTAACATACGTGGAGCTCTTGTCATGTCGTGGCAACTTTTCAGCGCTTTTGGGATCATGCTTGGATTCCTTGCAAATCTCGCTCTGGTTGGGTTTGGGGACATCGCCTGGAGACTTCAACTTGGTTCCGCCATGATCCCCGCAGTACCTTTGCTCCTGGGAATCTACTTTACACCTGAATCACCCCGCTGGCTATTGAAGAAGCGCAGGTTTATTAAAGCCTACGAGTCACTCCTGAGACTACGTGGCAACAATTTACTCGCCGCTAGGGATCTTTACTTTGTCAACGCTCAGCTTGAAAAGGAGCAAGAATTAGTGGAGGCTGACGGGCTTGGTGACAGCAACTTTCTCACCAGATGCGTGGAGTTATTTACCATCCCCAGGGTCCGTCGGGCGACACAAGCATCAGGTATTATCATGGCTGCTCAGCAGTTTTGTGGAGGTAGGACAACGTACTCCCGAAATGTTCAAGAACGCTTGACTAACAACCGCAGTCAATCTCATGTCATTTTACTCCTCGACGCTCTTTGTGGAAGCAGGGGCAAGTAACACCATTGCTCTTCTGGCATCATGGGGATATGGTATGGCAATGTTCCTTTTCGCGATCCCGGCTTTGTGGACCATTGATCGCTGGGGCCGCAGAGCCCTGCTGTTGATCACCTTTCCGAACATGTGCTGGGCTATGCTAGCAGCAGGCATGGCCTTCTACATTCCGCAGAGTAGTCCCTTACACCTCGGCGTTATTTGCTTGTTCATTTATATCTTCGCCGCATTCTATGGTCCGGGAGAGGGGCCAGTGGCGTTTGTCTACTCGGCCGAGGTTTTCCCTCTATCACATCGTGAGGTTGGCATGGCTTGGGCCGTCGCAACGAACAACTTCTGGGCCATCGTCGTGGCACAAACATCCCCGCCACTTCTCCAGTCCATCAAGCCCCAGGGAGTCTTCACACTTTATTCTGTCTTTGGCGTTATATGCTTGATTCTCATCTTTCTATTCCTTCCAGAGACGAAGCAACGCTCTCTTGAAGAACTTGATGACGTTTTCTCGGTTTCTACCAGGCGGCATGCGTCTTATCAACTATTGGAGGTCTTGCCATGGTGGTTTAAGCGCTATATCATGCGCAAGAGAAACGAGCCTGAACCTACGTTATATCTTTTCGAAGTGGAGGAAAACATTGAGTCGGGACCAAAGTCCTAGACACATGCTGAATGAAGGCGGAATAACACATAGATATGAAGCTTTGCGGGGATAACAGGAGCGAAAGGCTTGCAGACTTTCTTGCTGAGGGCCAAGAGCAATAATTCTTTTGGTTTTCACTCACATCTTTCATCTTCTTACGGAGACGGCTTGAAGGACAATAGTGAGATTTTGGGATTACAATATCTGGATAGAATCTAGCCGAATTTTTCGGATTTACAGAGTAATTCGTCTTTACGCTAGTTGGGGCATCGGTATTTGAAACGTAAACCACCTTACACACCTTTGAAACACCATGATGATAGATTTTGTGAGCCATTTGTGATGGTTCTGACAGATGCTACGTACCTTATCCATTTCACTGGGGGACGTTGAAAGGAGAACATTTCACTTTATTAGTCTTAGCCAAGGAAGCTAACGTCGACCTGCCTGTTCGTATAGTTATCGATCCAGTGGCCGGCACGTTATCCTTGTCAACCTGGAGCATGTGAGTCAATGCTCAGCAACAGCCTATCGCTAGTTTGATCGCCGCAACCATTTTTGGAATGGCCGGTGGGGTTTCGGGATGTTAAGTCTTGTACAAGGGGTTCTGTTCATGCTGCCTGCCGGATTAAACTTTTTAACGAAGTGAACCCACACTTCTGCCTAAGTCTTTCACGATATACACACAGAATTTCAGGGGTTCCTATTACTTCACAGGTAGTCAACACTTAGAAATAAACATATATAAAGTATTTTACCTTACCTATAGACTGTGCAGCAACAGCATCTCACCAAGCCTCTTTATTACAACACGATCCATTCTTCCACATACCCGTCTACGCTATGGCCACTCAAGCCTTTAGCAGTCCCGTGCCTCTCACGTCCGACGAGGAGGAATTCATGAAGCACGAGCACGAGCGTGTCAAGTTGACTGACAGTCAACAAAAAGCCTTCGACATTTGGGCTGGCCCGAAAGACCCCGACGTGTCTGATGCGAAATATTGGATTGAAAAGAACACCGAGCTCGATTTCAATGCCTTCTCGTTCAAGTGTCTCAACCTCCTCATTAAGCAGGCAGTATGGAGATACCACCATTGCTCATTCAAGGTGAGCCTCTAGAGGCCTGAAGTCCAGTCACGATCACTGATGCGTTTCAATTGACTCTGAAACAACTGGTTGTCGAACGTCCCGGGGCAGGTCTTAATCTTGGACATATGCCCAGTCTGAAAGAGAGATTTCCTGTTTTGTTCCTGGGCGAATGGGAAGCCGTCACGCTTCTGGTCCGCGAATGTTGCATGATGAGGGTTATTAACGAATTGTCTGATAAACCTCAGTGGTGGCTCAAGGTCAAAGACGACAGTATTGCTACAAAGTGGAAATCGGAGGCTTTGACAATCGACTGGGCATCGTATATCGAGAATGCTCACTTCACTCCTTCTATGGCCGATGCGGTAAGGTGACTTGTGTCTTCATTATAGTATATCAGCGCTAACGACCTCCAGTGCATCAGTGAACTACGGAAGAAAGCGGAAGTGTATGAACAGACAGGGCTTATGCCGGTCTACGATTACTGCACTGCCGTCATCAAGTCTGACAGCATCCTTACCCCCGAGTTCGCCAAGTGTATCCAAGATGCTGTCAAGCCACTTGAGGATGTCCCCTCAGACTGCAAAGACTGGCACCCTAACAGTAACGATCAAGTCTTGGATTTGGTCCATCCCTCCCTCTGGCCTTTGGTATACGGTAGCTCTAAAGTGCTTCATGATCGCACAATCGGCGTTGATGACGCTCTTGACTACTGCGACATGGGTACTACAATACGCCAGCCGACAAAGGCGGAGGCTACACTATCTCCTGCCACTTCTTGGAGGAGTACTTCGAGAAACCAGGTGTTGAGTAGGGAGTTTCAATGGCTACCATGCGATGTGGACCTCGATCGAATCACAGGAAAAGCCAAAATTGCAAGCTACATCAACAACCTTCATCCTGCAGAGCAGGCTCACCTCTATCCAATCATCGAGAAGCTCATTGAGAAGTCTTTGCCAGCTTGGGATCTTATCTACAACTGGGAGGATAAGTTTGCGATTCAGCGTCTCGTAACATCCAATGTTCAGAAGCCAATGTGCCCTTGTCCGGAAATCTGCGGTCGACGCCGTGCATGCAGGCCCCAGGCACGTCCTCTCGCCGAGGGAGAAGTCCCACGAAACCGAAAGGATCTGGGGCGTAACGCTCGTGACAAAGCCTGGTTCAGAGAGACTCATGGCCCTGCGCTTCCTGACGCTGACCCCGAGGCCAAAGATTACGTCAAATTCGCCGCCTCCGACATCAGAAGCAGTGGCTTCTTTGGATGCAAAGACAGCTGTCAAGTCATTGTCAAGTTGGCCAATATCCATCTCACGCCAGAGAACCCTGAATACAAAGGTGGCTCTTGGCATACTGAAGGTCTTCTGAACGAACATATTGTCAGCACAGCACTGTACTACTACGATTGTGAGAACATCACGGACTGCACTCTCAACTTCCGGACATGTGCCAACAGAGAAGACCTTGACGATTCTGGCTCACGAACCTCGCTCGACTATGAGCAGTACGACTGGTGGAGTATCAAGCAGGCATTCGCAATCGAACCTCGTGGCCACACATTTCAGAATGTGGGATCAGTACAGACCAAAGGCGGCCGGGCATTGTTCTTCCCTAACCTCCTCCAACATCAAGTCTCTCCCTTCAAGCTGGCAGATCCCTCAAAGCCTGGCCATAGGAAGATTGTAGCTCTTTTCCTCGTCGACCCAGCCATTCCTATCATCAGCACGTCTAACGTGCCGCCTCAGCAGAAACACTGGTGGCCTGCTGAGCCTAAGACTGGTCCATTGCCCGCCCCAGCATCAGATGACCAGGGATTGATTCAGTGGAAAACGGCTCAGGAAGAATGGGTTGACTCCGAAGACGCTTGGTTGAAGGCTCGAGAGAGTTGGGAACAGAGCCTTAGCAGAGATAAGTGGCCCATTGGAATGGAACAGGCCAAGGAGCTGAGGAAGGAGCTGATGGCTGAAAGAACGTGGATGAAAGAGAAGGAGGCTGATTGGCTCAAGACCGAATGGAACTTCTGTGAACACTAGCTTTAAGTTCTTGATTTTTAAGAAGAGACTCAAGTATACCATGGTCTAGACATACTTGCTACGCTTAATTCGCGATAAAGTTCCGATTGGCTTGCGTTTTATTTGGCCTAGCTCCCTCAACACCACGCGACGACTCCTGCAATATCTCTACATTAGCCACTCGTGGCGAATACTTGTCCATTTTGGCCCATTTCGGGGTGTCGGCCGGTGGATCTCTGTAGTGAAATCGGAAACACAAAGGGACACCAAAGGCGGTAACCCGCTCGAGATCTCTATTTCTGAAGTTTCGTATTGTTATGTGCCTTATCAATGTCAATATGGGAGACCCGCCAATGCCGCGAAGGCTAAACAGTTAAAGACTATCCTTCTCTATGTGTATACCATACCTCCATTCGCACAGATCGTGTCCCCGGTCACCCAGCGCGATCTTTCTTCGCACAAGAACACAATGATATCTGCCACATCCTCCTCCGTTCCACATCTGGGCTCGGCAGGAACCTTCTTATTCTGTTCTTCCATCCTCGCAAGATGCACAGATCCGGCAGCACGGTACATATCAGTATCGACAGGGCCAGGGTTGACTGAATTCACAGTTACCCCGTATTTGTGGCCCAGCTCTGTGGCCCAGACCCGTGTCAGACCTTCGACAGCAGCTTTGGATGCGGCATAAACGGATTGAGTCGGGTAGCCACCGCGGGCAGATATCGAAGACAAGTTGACAATACGACCGCCGCGGTTGATGTGAGGTAAGACGCTTTGAGTCATAAAGATGACTGCTCTGACATTGACTGCCATCAGACGATCATAGTCTTCAATTGTGACTTCTTCGAGTGGTGCGTTTCCTCCGACGCCCGCGTTGTTCACCAGAATATCGACCTTGTCGGTTTGAAATTCTCGAAGAGCCGCTTTCAAAATAAGAGAGGGAGCCTCAGGAGACGCCATATCGGCACGAATGCACGTCACTCGAACCCCGAACCCCTTTACTTCCTCAACCAACTTTAGAGCAGCAGCTTCGGATGAAGGAGAGACATAATTGAATGCAACCTGCACTATGTTAACATCAATATTCTCATCACAGGTCGACTCGGTTAAGATGAGGCCGTTGTGGATATACCAAGTAAGGAAGCTCTGATTGATCGACCTGGTAATCTGTTTCGGGCAATAAGATCAGGACTTACACTTGCGCCTTGTTTAGAAAGAGCTCGAACTATGCCAGCACCGATTCCTCGAGCCCCTCCCGTCACTATTGCGATCTTTCCATTGAGAGACATGACGATGACTTGAAGTCCAGTGGTCGTATATCTCGAATCACCCTTTTAGCTGAAGGGGAGACTGAGAGATGGTCTTGATCCTTACTCTCAAGTTCTCTTGAGGGCTTGTCGATTACGATCAAGGGCGAGGTATGTGTATAGAGAGTATAGAGAAGATAAAAACCCCAGGCTTGCATAGGCTGCGTGCGGGGAGTCGCAGTGGGCGGGGGTTTCCGTCCAAATCAACAATGTGGCGGAAACCCAACCGGGTGACAGTGCGCCGAACGTGGGGTAGTGGTGACTTGAGACGGCGCCGTGTATGGTGTCTTGTGAGGAGACGATGTGTTTGGGCCAATTTGTTGAGGCTGCACGAGACGATCTAACGTGAACGACAGGGCCAGCGAGCTCGGAGGGGGTAAGGGAGGGGTAAGGAATTCCGAAGGTGATGCAGCCAGAAACGATAGACATCTAATCAAGCTGCCCACCTTTTTGAGATCAGATGTACTCGGTATATAACAAGCTGGCCGCACTGAGTTGATGTTCCCACCTCACTTCCTCATTGACACCCACGGAATCTCGAGTCCCTGGCCTGTATTGGCCATCAAAATCAGAATCATACTCATCAACCACTTATGCCTGCCATGGATACTTCAAATGCAGTCGATATCCTTCGCCGAAAACCCGGAAACCTTGCAATCTATACTAACCCTGAACATGAGCTGTATCTCAAGAAGCTCGATGTTCCGACCCCAAGCGAAGGGGAGTGCCTCATCCACGTGCGAGCAACTGGCATCTGCGGCTCCGATGTTCACTTTTGGAAAGCAGGTCACATTGGCGAGATGGTTGTGACGGGCGAAAACGGGCTAGGCCATGAGAGTGCAGGCGTAGTTGTTGGCGTAGGACCCAAAGTGACGAAGTTCAAGATTGGTGATAGGGTAGCCATCGAGTGCGGCATCCCTTGTATGAAGGCATCGTGCTTCTTCTGTCGCACAGGCCGATACAACGCCTGTCCAGAGGTGGTCTTCTACTCGACGCCCCCATATCACGGAACCCTTACCCGCTACCACGTGCACCCAGAAGACTGGCTTCACAAGATTCCTGATGGAATGTCATATGAAGAGGGATCTCTTCTCGAGCCACTCTCAGTGGCTCTGACAGGGCTCGAGCGATCCGGCGTTCGCTTGGGTGATCCCGTGGTTATCTGCGGTTCCGGTCCCATCGGCATTGCCACTTTGCTGGCTGCTAGCGCAGCAGGTGCAAGTCCAATCGTCATTACGGACATCAATCAGACCAGGCTGGACATGGCGAAAAAGGCAGTTCCTAGAGTACGAACTGTGCTTATCACTGCTGGAAAGGAGCCGCAGGCAACTGCCGAGGATATCAAGGGAGCTCTCGGTCAAGAAGCCAAGATAGTGCTAGAATGTACTGGCGTTGAGTCAAGTGTGGTCACCGGTATATACGTAAGTAATCTAACTTACACGAATTGTACGTTGGACGGGGATACTTGTGCTGATTAAACTCTGAAGTCTTGCCGATTCGGCGGCATGGTCTTCGTTATCGGTTGCGGTAGAGATTTTGCCACAATTCCCATCATGTACATGGCTGGCAAGGAAATTGAATTACGGTTCCAATTTCGCTACCGAGATATCTATCCTCGGGCCATTGGCCTTGTTGCTGAGGGAGTCATTGATCTCAAACCATTAGTCACCCATCGGTTTGCTCTTGAAGATGGTGAGAAGGCCTTCAAAACAGCTTCAGACCCTGGTGCTCTGGCATTGAAAGTTCAAGTACTTGACGATTAGAACCCAGGGCGGTAGTACTCAAGCTCAAGCTTTCTGAATTGTATCTTCGCTCAAGGAAGAGGTTCCGCCTGGACGTGAATAGGGGCTGCAGGTTCGGTCGCGAAAATGTGCAGGCTGCAGCGGCGACGTCCTAGTGTCTTTCTATATCTCTCACAATTGATTCGAAACGTTGAACTCTCATTCCCCCGTACTACAGTGTTCTCATATGCCCAAATATAGCCCTGCACGGCGATAAGTCATGCAAGGAGCAGAAATCTAGGTTGGCCACGGCTCAAATCAAAAGGGCACATATCCCTAGCCGTGACATTGCATTTCTAGGAACACTGTTGTCGGTACCATGGTAGTCTCTTTCCCTCCAGCATTCCTTCAGAACTCGTAGGACCGTATCAACGTTTGTAAAACCGGAACCCGAGCTTTCAAGGATTCCTTCAATCAGATTCTCGAAGAATGGTTGTTGATCTGGGGCTGCCATTGCTCCAGCGACGCACATAGCCCATGTTACAGGTTTCAGAGACAGGCCATCCGGCACACTTTGAAGAGCATCCATAACGCCAGATACTGCGTTATGAATTGTTTCAAGCGCGTTTTCTGGTGCGTCTTCTATGTTGGCTGAAATTGTGTGCAGTTGTACAAGGACTGCCGTTGCATATATGCGGGTAATCGACTGCGAGATTAAGGCTGAATCGGGCTGACCGGACGAATTAGTATCGTTCCATACCCCATAATATTGAGAAGGTATACTAGGTACCTTTTGTTCTACCCCCAAGTATCCAACACCATCTTCGAGACGTTTAGTGATGTCTGCAATTTTGCGGCTCAAAGCTCTCGGATTCATCTCTGCAACTTGTGCCTCTAGCGAGGCTACATCTCCGAGAGCTAGCATAGCCCAGTTCTGGCAACCCATGACACAGGACACATCGATTTCTTCGTGGCTGAGCCACCTTTGATAAGGTAGCCTAGGTGGTTCACCTGTAGAAACACACGACAGAAGCTCGAACCAAAGTAGCTGTGACACATGGAATCTGATGGCCGCACTCATAATCCTCTGGAATCCAGTCTCAATTCTTGTAGAAGATTCGGACCTTCCTCCCACGCTCTCCAAGTCAATTTGACCTGCGACCAATACAAGAGCGTTCAGATGTGACTGCCAATTAGTGGTTCCTCCTTGGAAGACCTAGCCACTTTAGCATTAGCAGGGTGCAACCATGGGTTCAACAAAGGTTGGAAGAGTGGATACCTCGAAGCTGATGAGGAAAGTGCCACAAGTAAGAAACTCGACGCGATGTTCGGGATGGCTGGCGAAACCATCTGTCTCGCAGCGAATGAGAACTTGACGGAGTTCTTGCATCGCATTGGTGTGATACCGGATAAGCTCTGACTCCATTTCCTCTGTCTTACTTTGCAACATAGCGTGTTGGTGTAGAGCGGATAGCGTAAAGGCGGCTTGACGAAGCGGCCCTTGCTTGGACAGAAGCCAGAAAAGCCATCCTCGGCCACCGAGTGCTGGCTTATCCACGTAATAGGCGTATTGGAGGGGAAATATGTAGTCCAGATAATATGTCAGGAGCTCAGCTTCACGATACTCAGACCCGCCTGGCGAAAATATTGCTGACTCTTCGAGGGTTTCCCCAGAAGGCTCCGTTACGGCTCTGGTTGATGAACGTGTGGAAGAAGCCTGCAGTTTTCGAGTTCGGCGGAAGTTCTGTTTCACAGCATGCTTGATGCGTTGAAGTTCCGCCTGTAGCTTGACAGGGTCCTTGACCCAATCAGGCTCCGTTCCATAGCCATGGCATACTATGTGCCGATCTGTGCATTCTTTACAAGTCGGAGTTGCTTCGTCGCATTTCCTATGGCGAATACGACATGTCCAACAACCACCGCTGCTACGGCCCAGGGGTTTGGACATTGTTGCGGGGGTGTCTCTGGACTAATCTCGGGGTTTCGGTTTACCAGATTCATCGAAAATTTCCTAAGAAAAACACTATTAGCCAGACTCCAAACAAGTCGTATTGGCCCGTCAGCGGGACAAATTTGCTCGGGCTGTTTTGTCGACGTTCGTCAACGTCTTCATTTGCGTCGGTTAATCTTTCCCAACCCCCCGCATTAGTAGCCCTGCAACCGAGACTGTCTCCACAATTCGCGCTCTTGTAACTCGGGAAGGAATGTCGAGCCGTACTTTAGGAAGGAAAGTCGAGACGAAAGGACTGCAATTGGTCCGCAGTCAACAACGCTCTTGTTTCTTAAAGTTACTTAATTAACAAAGCAGGCTAAGAACTGACTAGAAGTGTGCTTTCTTACAGCTCGAATATTGATCCTTCAATTATCTCACATTTCTGCGACTCTGAAACATATTTTTTTTATTTACTTTCTCTAAGAAGAAAATCAAATGAGTAGATCGTCTGCAAGCGTATGTCGACCACCAGAAGACTGCGATTGACCATGCCTGCCTAGGCATTTATAATCGTTTGTGGTCCATTCATCGTAGACAAGTATCCTCCGTTTTCAAAGGTCAGTATCACGTTAAGATGATGATGCAGGATTTATGCAAGCGGCGCAAGACATGCCTTTAGATGTGAAAGCTGAAGAAATTGATAAAATCTCTCAAAGCGAATGTTGGCAGGCTTAGCACAGACAAATACATTACGGTTCCATATTCGAGGGTTAACAATTCCTTTCCATTCTCTGTCGTTTCCACACTGATTAATCCACTATACGAAATACAGATTACAGACTAAACATTCCATTAGACTCGACTTGGCTCAGCAAACCCTCCTCAACCTGCACACCCAAGTTGGTTCAGTTGGTACCAGCTGTATGCTCTAGATGAGAGGCACAATAATAAAAGGAAAACCTAGGCCTGCTTCTTGTTGCGGTCGCGGAAGTGATCTCTGGCCTTGTCGCGGGCAGCACCGCGCTCCCGGTTGGCGCAGAAGACGTAGTTGCCACGGTTTCTGTCGCAAATCTCGGCGCCACGCTCTGTGCGAGTGTTATCATTTTGCCTGATTGAACCAGCATTGAATTATGTCTGACTTACCATAGGTGATGATCAAGTCCTCACTAGCCGCGCAGAAAGCAAGGTCATCGCCCTTGCAATTGGGGTCGTGGTCATCGCGGCCACGGTCACCATCACGACCACCACGGCCTCGGTCACCATCGCGGTCACCATCACGGCCGCCGCGTCTGTCGCCATCACGATCGCCATCACGGCACTCGCGGCCTCTGCCGCCACGGTCTCCATCGCGTCGGCGGTAGCATTCGCAGCGGCGCTCTCTGTAGCCGTAGTACTGATCGATCTCGCATCGTGTAATTCTGTCAAATTCGCGAGCCAGCTCGATAGCCAGCTCCTGCTGCTCACGAATTGCGCAGAAGAGCCTGTTGCCTCCATCGTTGGCGAAACAGAGCCTGTTCTTCGCATCTACAAGCTCCATTAGCAAAGCTGACTGAGGCCTGGCTCATGATGCGTTGAAATAATTTACCGTAGCGAGTAAACTCCTTGACACTGCGGCCGCAGTAAAGTTCGTCGCGTTCATCGCGGCATTCTCCACGGGGAAACGCCTCTGCTTTGGCCAGCTCGGCAGGCTGCTCAGCGGGCATAGCCGCGACGCAGCTGATGCCAGTGAGGGCGGCAACGAAGAGCTTTGAGTAGAGCATGCTGACGATCTAAGCGAACCGCAAGTGCTGGTATCAAAAACCAAAGGTGGGTATAATTGGAAGGGTATCGTGAGCTTGAACTGATTGTTGTCTTGTCTGTCTGGTGAAGAGAAAAGAAAGCAATATCTCACGGGGGGTGGTGCCGTTCTTTATAGTCTGGGATCACTTCAGTTGTAGTTCATCTTTCCCGTGAATTGTCGCCTGCCGAGCAATCAATGGACTGTTGACGCTCGCATTGCACCGGGTCTAGTTCGTCGACATACTCAAACGTTGTTTATCCCTCTGGCATCCAAGGATGTCCATTTCTCCGACGCATCCGTAAAGAGCTACCTAAGATGGGCAGCTTTCAGCAAGCTACCTCGATCGGCTTTGCTCCGAGGCATCCTGAGTTGTCTCCCACAGATCGGATGAGCTGCAACCAGTATGCGCCGTGGGTTTGGTGACTGTCACTCACGAACTGGCGGAGTATCAAGAGCAGAGGCGTCCTACAGAGATGACATGTGTTAGACAAAGGTCTAACGGCAGCATGCCGATTGTACCATCATGTTCATGAAAGTTGTCCAGGATTCCTGGCAAATGGACCAGAAGTTCATGCCTCCACGTTTGGCTTGCTACGCTTGATGGTGTGCCATCTAACTCTATTCAAGCTGTAAAGGGGGGAAGTGGTCGCATGGTGCAAGCATAAGATGGTTGCAACCTCTACAGTTAGGAAGAGTCGAAACTTTCTAGCTAAGCTGAGCCAGGCAGCTTGATTCCATTTCGGAAATCCTCAACTTGGGATTGACCCTTGGCAGTCCGGTAGGTCTTCCGAACAAGGATGGGTGATAATGCGCCCTCAAGCAACAAATGTGTAAGTTTCTGGTACCTATTCCACGTATTAAGGTAGGATCATCTCACTGCCATACCCGACTACCAGGTCATTTCTGTGAGCGATACTTAAGTATAGTTCAGTCATCAGTTAGCGTTGTTGCTTCACTGACTGTTCAGTCTTCAAAATGGAGAGGTCACAGGATCTATTCACCCTCCAGGTGGATAAACCATCTTGCATTAGGGACTTCTTGCACACATCCCATTAGCAACTGGACCGTATCCGCGAGATGGCCCTTGCTATACCCGAGCTTTCCTGCACCATGCCAATTTTCGACTCAACTGCTGTGCAAACTAATGTGAAGAAACATTTCATCTATCATAGTCGGCGTCCGGGGAGAACCGATCCGTGCCGCTCCGTCCCTCTGATTGGACTTCGTCAAAGGCGACGGCAAACATTCCACGCCTCAGAAACCGCAAACCTTGCCCATTAAGCCATTGTGTTTCCTGGGCGGAAGGTTCATGGCAGATAGACTCTGCTC